AGTTTATGCGTTCAACCAAGTTTGAAGCTAAGGATTATATAACGAGTGGAAATGGTCCATAGGTGTACATACCATTTTTTTTTAATTCAGAGACTTTAATTGTACGTACTCTTTTAAATTATGTCGTAAAAGAGCGATCTAACATATATTATTGATCATAATTAATATATAAAACAGGCTATTTTAAAGAATTTTAATAATGTTAGATTCCCTGAACCTCAATGCTGTGTTGTCCTTAATGAGAACTTGCTAAAACTAATCGAAAGGTTCTTTCGTTGGAACAACTTATCTTAGCTTTTGAGATATAGTTAATTGATTAGTTGCTTATCTTTAATGGTTTTTCTTTTCGGTTATCATTATTAATGGCTGCTGGGTGCTGGCCGGCCATTTTTCAATGGGGAAAAGGGGTCGAGTGAAATGCATGAAAGAAACTCTCTAGATATGCTGACGCTACTTACATGATCCCAGAAGTAATGAAACGCAGACTCTGCCTTGTTCTTGGAACTGGTAAACAAGAATATGTAGACGACCTTGACACAAGGAGATTGGAAGAATCAAATCAAACGACAACCGGTGGTAGAATGAAATATCGTTTGAGGGTCGTATCGGAAAAGTCAGCGGTAGGGTATTAAACGTTGAAATCCTGGTTCAACCATTCCATATTGCTAGATATTGTCAACTGATTTTACTTTTGGTATGAGGTTTTTCTCGTCGAACCGCTAGTACGGTATGATTTTTTCATCCTAAGAATTAGAGTGAATCCGTGTATAGCTAGTAGGTGATAAGTGGTCCTGCCTGGCTAGGTCTGCTAGTCGAAGTGGTTTGGCTTTCAATCTATAACCGATTAGGTTACCTATTATATCGTTAGATTATTGGATACTTTATCGATGAAACCGTTAAGCGGAAAACTGAATATCAATCCTAGGCCTGGTTGTGAGGAGGAAAGTTAGGGATATATAAGAGAAGTTTTGCTACACAATTTAACTAGCTAGCTAGGTAGTTAATTGCAAGCTTTATTCAGATTTGTAGAAAAAGTGGAGAGCTGATATTATCAGACTTGGAAGCTGAAGATTGAAGACCTGCATTCCATCAGGATAGCTCTGCTCGTGTGGAGAAGAAGAAGACCAGAGTATTTGAAAAGAAACCAAGGCAGAAACGTTTCGTTTCTGCCTTCCCTTCCACCTGACTTAAACGAAGAGCAAAACGGTGTCGTGGAGCTTCAAGTTTACCGTTAGGTGGAGCCAAGCAGAGCCAACGAAGAGAAGACATGTGGCTAATGTTTACAGCTCATTTTCGAATTTCAGTTTTTGTTTTAACTTCCATTTCCAATTTTACTGTAGTGTATGGTTTACTCTACTGGAACTGATATATATATGAAATGATGGAAAGACCTCTCTCTCTTGCGGGTTTTCCCAATTCTATACCGCCTCCTCGTTCTTCTTCTTCATACACAAACCCTAAGCTCATTGAGCTTTTCTACATGGTATCAGAGCTGCACTGAGATCCAGATTTCTTCACAATGAGTGGCAGTGCAACTCCAGGTGGCTCACCGATGAGTGGCACTGGTCCAATTCCTTTTGGAAGTTTTAATGCGCAGTCAGGAACAACGAGCAACAACAATGGAAACAACACCGGAGGCACAGGACGTCCAGATCTGCAATTTGGTAACCCATTTTACATAAACCCAAATGAAAACATCTCTCAATCCATAGTCTCTGAGAACCTAGATGGACCAAATTATCAGACGCGGCAACGAGCTATTCGAATGGCTTTGAAAACAAAGCATAAAATTGGTTTCATCGATTGATCTATTCCTATGCCGAGTCTGGATGATTTTAATTTTGGGTTATGGGATGCTTGCAATACTCTTGTCCTGTGTTGGATCTTGAACTCGATTGAGAAGGAAATTCGTAGAAGTGTAATGCAGCATGAGAATGCTAAGGCTCTTTGGGATGAGCTTAAGAGGAGATTTGGTCTTCCTAGTGCCATCAAGCTAGCAAACTTGCAGGATGCAATTATTGCCTGTAAACAAGGATCTATGAATATTACTCAGTATTATACTGCTTTTAAGGGATTGTGGGAGGAAAATCTCCAGTTTAATCCAATAGTAGAATGTGATTGTGTGGTGCCAAGAGTTCGTCCTTGTGCAGCAGTGGAAGCTTTCAAACAGAAACAAGAAGTGGAATATCTTATTCGATTCCTTAAAGGGCTAAGATCAGAATATGAGGTAGTTCACACTCAACTCCTCATGATGAAGCCATTGCCCACTGTGGATGCTGCTGTCAATTCTCTGCTCCAGCATGAGCAAAAGATCAAGGGTGATAGAGGTGGAGGAACCAAGGGAGTTCAGACAGTAGCACTTGCAGTATCTGGTGTACCTGGGAGTCAGAACAAATCTACTGGTTCTGATGGGAAGAAGTTCTGCAGGTATTGCAAGCAAGAGAATCACAACATAGAAGAATGCTATCGTCTGAAAAACAAAAAGGCTAGAATGGCTGGGGGAAATGTTGCTGCAGCAGTCTCACAGTCTGATTCTTCTACAGACAGTGACAGTGGTTCTTCAGAGTCCAGGCTCAGCATTGATACCAAACAGCCAAACAACAGCTTTGGCTTGTCTTCAGAAGAGCTTAACAAGCTCAGATTTCTGCTTCACTCAGTTCCTCCTTCATCGAGCAGTCCTTCTCCACCAGCATCACCATCTATTAATCACCATGCTTTCTCTGTGGCACAGCACATTCCTCACTTCCCTAATTGTGCTGGTAAGTATGTTCTCTCTTCATGCTTGCAACACAATTCTGATTCCCTTTTGGGAATATGGATCCTGGACACTGGGGGCTTCAGATCACATTGCTTGCAGCTTGTGTCTGTTTATTGAATCCACCCCAGTGATTGATCAGTATGTCTTCTTACCAACTGGTTCTAAGGTTGTTGTTAGCCATGTAGGTAGAGTCAAGTTGCCTACAGGTCTTGTTCTAGAAAATGTCCTCCTAGTGCCTAGTTTTTCTTTCAATCTTGTCTCAGTTAGTAAACTCACAAATGACCTTCCCATTTCCTTACACTTTGAATCTGATTCTTGCCAAATTCAAGACCTGGTGACCCACAGCAGGACTGGTTTGGCAAAACAGATTAAGGGGCTCTACCACCTCACTTTCAAGACTTCTTCCTCTCCTCAAACACCACAGGCAGCTGCTGCATACAATTTCACTCCTCAAACTATTGAACTATGGCACTGGAGGCTAGGACATCTAAACAAAGACAAAGAAAAACTCTTAGTACCCTGTAATAGGACTTCTGTTTTTCATTGTCAGACTTGTCATTTTGCCAAACACAAAAGGCTACCATTCCCTATCAGTTCTAGTCATGCTCTAGAACCTTTTTCCCTTATTCATGTGGACATATGGGGTCCTCTTGCTGTAAAATCCCATGAGGGATATTCCTACTTCCTTACTATAGTAGATGACTTCTCTAGGGGTGTTTGGACAAATCTGATGAGATATAAATCTGAAGCTAGTGCTTTGTTGGAATCTTTTTGTGTGATGGTTTCCAAGCAATTCAGTAAGCATGTTAAGGTTGTGAGAAGTGATCAGGGGAACGAGTTCCATATGGCAGAATTTTACAAAACTAATGGAATTGAGCACCAGTTGTCATCTGTTGAAACTCCTGAGCAAAATGCCAGAGTTGAACGCAAGCATCAACACATTCTCAACATTGCTAGATCACTCAGATTCCAGTCAGGGGTGCCTTTGCAGTTTTGGAGTGATTGCATCCTCCATGCTGTGTTTCTCATCAATCGGATTCCCTCTTCAGTTCTTAACAACAAGTCCCCCTATGAATGCTTATACAGCTGACCTCCTAGCCTAGCTAACTTGAAAGTTTTTGGCTGTCTATGTTATGCTTCCACCCTTCATAGAGATAGGACCAAGTTTGACAGCAAGGCTAGGCAGTGTATTTTTCTTGGCTTTCCATCAGGCACCAAGGGTTTCAAACTCTATGACATCAATTCCCATTAATTATTTGTTTCTCGTGATGTTACCTTTTATGAGACCATTTTTCCCTTTTCCACTCCTACTTCCACTTCTAATTCTTCACCTTCTTTGTCCATTCCAGACCCCATTATACCTACCCTTGCACCTATTCCAGCTATTCCCAATACCATTCCTTCTTCTGCTTCTCCTAGTCCCTCATCTATCCCTTCTTCCTCTACTCAGAATGCCACCATCCCCATATCCTCAAATTCACCTTCTACTTCCTTTCCTGAGAACTCTCCTTCACCTTCACTGGTGTCTGATGTGGTTGGTTTGCATTCTGGGGGGGAGGATGCTGAGATTGAAGTGTTTCCTGATAATAATGATGAAGCTGCATTTATTCGCAAGTCCACAAGGAACAAGACTGTGCCTGCTTGGCACAAGGATTATCACTTTAACATTGCATCTTCATGCTCCAAACATCATGTCTGGCAGCACTTCTCTTATGAGCAATTATCACCTTCCCAGAGGGCTTTTGCCATGAGTGTGATGCTTAATGAGGAACCTACTTCATATGCAGAAGCTTGCAAAGATCCTAGATGGAATCAAGCATGTAATGAGGAACTGGCAGCTCTGGAAGAAAACCAGATCTGGGAAGTGGTGAAGTTACCTAAGGGTAAGAAGGCAGTAGGATCAAAATGGGTGTTCAAAATCAAACACAAGTCAGATGGAACTATTGAAAGGTTTAAGTCTAGAGTTGTAGCAAAGGGGTACACACAGATATATGGGATTGATTTTTTGGACACTTACTCTCCTGTGGCCAAAATCAATTCGGTAAAGACACTTTTAGCAGTTGCTGCTTCCAAAGAGTGGCACATACATCAAATGGATGTGTCAAACGCATTTTTACATGGAGATTTGGAAGAGGAAGTTTATCTGGAAATTCCTCCTGGAGCTAATGTTCCTAGAGATCAAGTCAGGTTTACAGACTCACGAACAGCTTCAGATTACTCACAAACAGCTTCAGATTACTCCATGTTTGTGAGATGGATTCAAGGAAGAGTGGTTGTTGTATTAGTATATGTTGATGATATACTGATTGCAGGAAGCTATTTGGGAGACATAGAACAGTTGAAGCTGTTCTTAAGCAAAGAATTCAAGGTCAAGGACCTTGGTCAGATGAGTTATTTCTTGGGATTGGAGGTGTTGAGAGATCACAAAGGGATCTCCTTGAGTCAGAAGAAGTATTGTCTTGAATTGGTGACAGACACAGGATATCTAGAAGCTAAGGGCTGTCTTTCACCAGTGGACTGTAATGTGAAGTTATCAACTACTCAGGGAGAACCATTACCAGATGCTACTGTCTATAGGAGATTAATAGGCAGATTGCACTATCTCACCATTACCAGGCCAGACATAACTTATGCAGTGCAACAATTAGCACAGTTCCAGGAAAATCCCTGTGTTGAGCATCTTCAAGCTGCACACAGAGTGATCAGGTACTTAAAGCAAACACCTGGACAAGGCCTATTGTTCAGAGCTGACTCAAAACTTGAGTTGCAGGGTTTCTGTGATGCAGATTGGGCGAGTTGCCCTGATTCCAGAAGATCCTTGACAGGATATTGTACTTTCCTATGCACCTCATTGATTACTTGGAAGACCAAGAAACAAACAACGGTCTCAAGGTCATCCTCTGAAGCAGAATACAGAGCATTGGCACAAGTAGTCTGTGAAGTGCAGTGGCTCAGAAACCTCTTGTTAGAAATGGGAGTTCAGGTACCCCTTTCAATTAATCTCTTTTGTGACAATAAATCTGCCCTACACATCGCTGAGAATCCTGTGTTCCATGAGCGAACCAAGCATATAGAGATCGACTGTCATGTCATAAGAGAGAGACTGAAATCTGGATTAGCCAAGCTGAGCCATATCAGAACAGATGATCAGGTTGCTGATATTTTCACCAAGGGAGTCACGAGATATCGTCTGAAGTTCTTGTTGGACAAGCTAGGAGTATTCAACGCCTACTCGCCAGCTTGCGGGGGAGTATCAGACTTGGAAGCTGAAGATTGAAGACCTGCATTCCAGCAGGATAGCTCTGCTCGTGTGGAGAAGAAGAAGACCAGAGTATTTGAAAAGAAACCAAGGCAGAAACGTTGCGTTTCTGCCTTCCCTTCCACCTGACTTAAACGAAGAGCAAAACGGTGTCGTGGAGCTTCAAGTTTACCGTTAGGTGGAGCCAAGCAGAGCCAACGAAGAGAAAACATGTGGCTAATGTTTACAGCTCATTTTCGAATTTCAGTTTTTGTTTTAACTTCCATTTCCAATTTTACTGTAGTGTATGGTTTACTCTACTGGAACTGATATATATATGAAATGATGGAGAGACCTCTCTCTCTTGCGGGTTTTCCCAATTCTATACCGCCTTCTCCTTCTTCTTCTTCTTCTTCATAGACAAACCCTAAGCTCATTGAGCTTTTCTACAGATATTGATAGTTGCACTTACATACACATGCATGGCCCCTATTTCATAAGATCGCTGGACATAGCACTATTACGCTACATTTTAACTTTTTTTCCATTTTCTTCCTTTTACACATATGGGTCTCAGTCTCATTATTAGAATGAATGCAGAAGACTTTTTTGTTTGTTTGTTTTTTTTATGAAAGTATTTTGTTATGGTGATTTTTATGGTATTGTGAAGCGGATAAAAGGGTTGATTGTTTTTTTAAAATTGTCGATTGGATGACACATTTATCTTATTGCAACGAGACTCCATCATTATAAAAGAAAATGACGGCGGATCGCACAAATAGAAAGAGCGAGTGGTTGGTCAATACTTTATCAGTGTTGAAACATGGTTCCACCACTTGAAATGGTTCATTGGTGCAATGAGACTCTATCATTGCAAAAAAATAAAATAATAAATAACGATCAACTATGCCAAATTGCCAATAGAACAATCAACCGGTTGTCCATTGCCTTATCGATGTTGGAACAAGATTCATCCATTATAAATGTTTCAGTACTAAACAAAGACTTTGCTATTATTTAACTTGAGTTAAAATCAACAAGAACGATCTATAAATAACCATCTACGTTGTTGGTTAATCAATTTTAAAATCATGTAAACAAAATCTTGTGATTCTGAAGTTTGGTGAAGAAAAAAAAAAGACACCACAAGCAAGCAATAGACCATTCATTCCGTTTGTAATAGTGAAATCTCGTTGCAACAAAATAAGTGTGTCATCCAGTTGATCATTTTATCAAAATTTGTCGACGTTTTCGCCAAATCACGATGACTTTGTCTCAGTTTCTCTTAATTGAATGTGGTAAAGGGCAGTATGTGTGTGAATGGGATCAAGTGAATGGAATTTGAAGCCGGTGGCGATGATGAGCAAGCTAAGGGAGTATATAGAGTGGTTAAAAGGGCCACCAAACCACACGACCGTAAACCTTTAGTAAGCGTTGTTGTTGGGTCTTTTCTTCTTCTTCTTCTTCTTCCTTATTGTCATCTCTCTCTCTCTCTACATCTGACTTCGTCTCAATTTCAATCCTACTACTACTGCAACTTTCCTCTCTCTCTCTCTAGAAATGCAGCATCCCTTTACTATACTATACACGTAATGACGCACTCATTGTGTTTGCCAAGCTGTGATTCTTTGTGCGTTGGACAACCTTCTAGAAAAGCCAGCTTCCCCGCCATCAAAATTCAGCCACAAGCTATGTGTGTGGTCGTCGTCATCCTCTGGAAACCCTAGCTGGGAAGAAAGACAGATCAATAACTACTTAATTAGGACCGGAGTGAACATACACTTTCCTTCCTTCCTTCCTTTGTTTATGTTTGGGTTCGGTTTTTCAGAGGAACATAAGAGGAAAGAAGTTTGTGCAGTACTCTCCCCTGTACATGTTTGGTCTTTATCCATTGACATATATGATAAATGTTAAGTGGGTTGGTAAGAAGATAGTGATGAAAGGATTGTTTAGCAACTATTTGGAGAGACTTCCACGCAGCTTTTTTTCCCAAGCTCCCTTCTTCATCATTACAATACCACTTGTAGAGCAACTTCCCAATGGGGGTTCCGACCTAGTTCATGTCAAGATAAACAAATCTATATAATGATAGCGGATTAGAAGTAAGAAAACTCATTAATTAGTAATATCTATAATGATTAGCTGGCGATACACTTCAAAAAATAGGAGGTTTAGGGACGACGAAAGTCGTCCCCGAAAATGAGAAAAATCGTCCCCATAATTTTTTGGGACGAGTTAGTTGTCCCCAATGTGTGGTTCCCTATACTCTTGTCCTCTATTATTTTGGGGACGACAAAAATCTAAGTCGTCCCCATTACTAGGGACGACAGTCGTCCCCGATATTCGTAATTCATCGTCTCGTTTCTTTTCCATGCAAGACAACATGTCGTCCCTATAGCTATAAATTTAGCGACAATAGGTTGTCCCCTAAACATCATTTCTAGGGACAAATTATTGTCCCGCATAATCAATTTCGTGATTGTTTTGGACCTACTTGGGGATAATATATCGTCCCCTTTCCTTTTTATAGGGTTGACATGTCGTTCCTATAGATATCAAATTGGAGTCTAAAAATCGTCCCCAAAAGTTTTATTCAAGAACTAGAAGCTGTCTCTTATACTATAGCTTTAGAGACGACAAGTTGTCACAAATGACTTTTAGGGACGGACAATTGTCCCTTAACTTGTGTATTGGGGGATGAGGAGTTGTAACATGTACACTTCTGGGGACGATTAATTGTTCCTCACCTTGTATTTTTTGGGACGACTAATTGTCACCTATTTAACGTGTAGGGACGAACCATCATCTTTAAGTAGTGTCTTTAGGGGGCGTCAATTTGTCACCTATTTAACTTTTAGGGACAACCAGTTATCTTTAAACTCTATCTTTCGGGATGAGTGATTATCACCCATGTAACTTTCTGGGACAACCTGTTGTCCTTAAGTGGTATCATCAAGGACAATGATATGTCGTCTATCAAATTCTAAGGACGATAAGGTATCACTTATACAATGTCTTTAGTGACGAGAGATTGTCACATTTGAGTTTTTAGGAATGACATAACACATTTCAACTGAAGATAGCAAAATGTCATAAAATTATCTCCATAGAAAATTAAAACAAAACTACTACAATGTCATCCAATTTAATACTAAGAAATCCAATAATCATCTTCGGAAATGCCAAACAATCTCTAGTTTCCTCTAGTGAAACTAGAACAAAAAACTGAAATTAAATAGATAACAAATTCCTGACCCATAATTTGTTTTATTATTTCTTTGACAAAAAATGTACCATCGCTTTGCATACCACACCTTGTTCTGGCCGACAAACATCCTTCTTCCTGAAAGTGTCGACAATAAATATAAAGCAACCACATCAATTGATCAAATTAGCAAAGTAAAACTATTAGTATAAATACAAGAGGGAGAACATTTGAAAACTAAGAAATTACCTATTTTTTATTTTTTGCGTCGCATGTCCAGCCTGTACAAAGAATAGCTAGCACCATTATATTTTGATGCAATTGTACGTGGAGTAGAGAAACCCTTGTTGACTTGTTGTGTACTGCAAGGGTCTTGTAATTGTATCAGGCTATTTGAATGAAGATAAACAACTTAACCACCTTCCACATCCGACAAGTCAGATTCTTCACCAACAAATGCACGCAAATTGGATTGTTGAAGCAGGAGACGCAAATAAAAAAAGCAGGGACGCAGCTCGAAAAGCATCTATTTCCAGACGAAATTGGCTTTTCTTGATAAAACCCTAATACACCAAAGGTTTATAAAAAATAGGGGAAAAGATGATTAATACGAATAGGAGCAAGAAACAAAAAGAACATGAATTTAAACCAACAGAATAGAGGATGAGAAGAATCACCGGACGCAGCAGATCTATAAGGAAGCAATTGAAGGAAAACAGTCATGTAGGAATGCAGTTCTTCCCTATGCCGAGTCCGTGAGGTAGGGCTTTGGCCGCCAAAGCAAATATAGGCCAAACTAATTGAAGATAGAAGGGAAGCAGAGATCAAAGACTTGAGAAAGAAGGGGAAACGATATTAGAACGCGAAAGCAAATATAGGCCAAACTAATTGAAGATAGAAGAGAAGCAGAGATCAAAGACTTGAGAAAGAAGGGGAAAAGATATTAGAAGGATTTGTGTTTATCTTAAGGAAAGAAAATCAATGGCGAAATCAGATTTGGCCGCCAAAGCAAAATATAGGGCCGCCAATGTTTTTACTTTTTAGTTCTGAGGGATACATGCCTGGCCTTCGAAATTTTGGCTAAGAGTCTCGCCAATTATTTCGCTAAAACTCCCGCCTCACCTTACTGAAACCAAATTTTGATTTTCAAAGAAGGGTACATGGTGAGATTAGGTACTGAACAATTTACCGGGGTACGGGTTCAAGGAAAGGTTTGGATTAAGGGAGGGAAGTTTGTTATCTACGGGCACTAGAGGTGGCAAATGGATTGGATTGGTGGATTAGTGGATTGGATTGGTGGATCCATACATCAAATGGATTGGATCTAATGAATTGATGGATTATCCATGAATTCAAATGACATCCTCAACTAAGGACCAATATGTAAAATGTAAAAAGTTTAGGTACTAAAATGTCACAATGAAAAATTTTAGGTACCAAAATGTAATTTTCCAATGATATTTTTTGTATATAAAATTAAATTTTAGGTACCAAAATGTAAAAAATAAAAATTATATGTACTAAACCGTAATTTGCCAATGATCCATGGATCCAATCCATGAATCCACCAATCCAATTGGATTTGGATCAAATGGATTGGATTTAAATGGATTGGATTAGGTGGATATTTTTAATGGATTGATGGATTGGATTGGTGGATTGGATTGAAATTGTCACCTCTAACTGGCACCCAGAATTGCTGAAGAGGGGTTTCGTCGATAAAAAGTTATAATAAATAAAATAATTAAATAAAAATAAAAATATAATAGATATTACTGAAATTTTTATTTATAAGTTGACAACGGCATGTTTACTACGAATATGACGATTTTTC